GCACCGAGGACCTATCCACGTCATCGTTTACCCAGAATGCTTTGTGTGTAAATAAAATGGCTCCGTCTGAGTTAAAATATATATTTTAAAAGATTACAAAACTAAACATCCTGAAGTATTTTTACAGTCTTTATTTTACAGTTAAAATATACAGTATGTTTATCAAATAATGTTTAATGTTTCAACTAATCGGGGATCCCTTTAAAGATTTAATAATAATTCATGAAAACTGTTTTATAACTCAGTCTGTTGTTAAAGTCAGCAGGAACTGGTTTCTGATACAACTTAATAAAAACTAAAGTTTTGTTACCTGATTGAGTCTGACGAAGCGGAACACCTCCTGTAGAGTGGATCCAGCAGCAGAGTGGACCTCTGAACACACAAACAACTTTATTTTAACAGCAGCCAGAACCAGAACCAGGACCAGACTGTCAGTCTCCACCCACGATGAGGAAGCTGTTCCAGGAGTTTTGCAGCTGCAGGTAGAGTCTGGACGTCTGAGAAACCACGTACAGATGCAGCTCCGCCTCCCTCTCCTCCTCCTCTCYGTTCGCTCCGCCTCGTCTCAGCAGACGGGTCAGAACCGAGCCGAACCTCCCGCTCACCTGGAACACATCGGCCCAGTTTCTGCTCCGTGTCTGAACGTGAGCGGATCTCCCAGCAAACGAGTCGGTGAAATACCTGCGAGCTCTCGGGCCTGCCTTCTGATTGGCTGGTGGAGGCGGAGCTAGAGGAGGATGAGGGAGGGCGGGGCACCTTCGGGAGGCCCAGGGTCTCGGGGTTGGGGCAGGAAGCGGAGCGGGTGGGCTTCAGAATCGGTTTGATCCCCTCGTTTATCCACCAACTGGAGCAAACAAAGAAGTTTCACTGAAATCCTGGAATTTAAAATATTTGGGTCAATCCTTCAGAGTGAATCAGTCTGACCTCCATCCTTCCTCCTTACAGATGAATAATTAAAYGAACCAATAATTAAAGAAAAGAGAAAAYCTCCGCTGACTGATGGGTTTAAGTTGAAYGTGGTGTCATTATAACGACACGGCGGAGATGGTGGAAGAGTTTTAATGAGGGAAACTTGTCTGGTGTGTAAATAAGTTATGAGCTAACTGAGACGCTGCTGAGGATCAGAATACACTSAGGGAGCTGGAGTCCTGATTTAACCCTTATTTAAAACAAAAAAACTAAAACTAATATGTAAAGAAGCGAAGGTTAAACCTCAGAGCTCCTGAACTTTTAATTTCCGCCCTCCTTGTGTTTTTAGCCAGTTTGTCTTTGACTCCGCCTCTCAAACAGCTAAATCAGACTTTTTTTTTTTCAAGCTTGTTAAAAGTAAAAACAGCCTCCGGTGGTTTCAGCTTCCTACAAGGATCTTCTGACAAACCTGAGACCTGATACTTGGCATCTGCAGACGGATATCTGTTTACAACCATCTGAGACTCCATATGAGAGTCACCTGATAAATCGTACAAAGTATATATCACTATTTGGATACATTTCTGATAGATTCAGGTAAAATATTCAGGTTTGAGTTAGTTGTTTGTGAACGTAGGTTTAATTTGTTCTCACCTTTCTGCAGGATATCCTGTAGAGAAAACATAAACAAAGTTAGAATTACAGCTGTGGTTCTGTGCGTCTGTCAGCAAAATATCTCACGAAATGTTCAGGAAATAATCAGATCGATCAACTTTTACAGTCGTTTCAAGATGGCCGCCACAACTAATCAGCCCTAGCAAACACAAATAAAAGGCAAAAACCCAGTCAGTTGTACAGATATGAAGCTAGTAGATGAGAGTGAGCGCTAATGTATGGAGTTAAACTGGGGCCATAGGTTTTGTTTAAAATAAAAAGATGTGAAACTCAAAAAAATATAGTAGAAACTGGAAAACTTTCAAACATCTTGTCTTTTCGGTTTCAAATTGTTATTATTTTTTTTCAGTTTTAAAAACTTTTTATTTTGAACAAAACTTATGGCTCCAGTTTAGCTCCATGCTAACTGACCTGCAGCTTTTTTAGCATCAACAGACCAAACAAACCTCCACAGAGATGTAATAAAATCTGAAACTTTGAATGATTTTACAAAAACAAACAACAGGTTTGTCTACCCTCTAAGTTGTGTGTTATCGTTGGACAGTAGCTGGCTCGGCGAGTGGGCGGGGCTGCACGGGGGAGGCCCCGCCTACGATCTCTCCTCATCCAATCGCGCTCCTTCTTYGGGGGCTTTTCAGTAGCGTAGGTGATTCGTATGTGTTGGCAGCGTTCCCTGTCCTTCGCACTCAGGAAGTCTGGGAGGTCGTTCACCTGTGCAGGTACAACAGGAAATACCACAATAAAACAAGGGGGAAAAACTATGAAAAATTATAATTTCATTTATTTATGAGACATTTCAGCGTTAGCAGCATGATAAATGTGAGTGTGTTTATTTTTGTTTGGAAATCCCCTCGTATGATGTTCGACATCACAGTAAATAAATACAGGACTGGATTTCCTTATTACATCATTCCAGACCAATAAAAAACATCCATCCTTCATCCATCCTTCATTCATYCATCAGATATCAATCATCCATCTATCCATCCATCCATCATATACAGTATCAATCATCCATCTGTCTATACATCATCCATCCATCTATCCATCCATCATATATATCAATCATCCATACATCCATCATCCATCTGTCTATACATCCATCCATCATATATCATCCATCCATCCATCCTTCATTCATCCATCCATCCATCCATCATCCATCCATCCATCATATACAGTATCAATCATCCATCTGTCTATACATCATCCATACATCCATCATCCTTCTGTCTATACATCATCCATACATCCATCCATCCATCATATATCATCCATCCATCCATCCTTCATTCATCCATCCATCCATCCATCATATACAGTATCAATCATCCATCTGTCTATACATCATCCATCCATTCATCCATCTATCCATCCATCATATGTATATCAATCATCCATCCATCCATCCATCCATCCATCCATCATATATATCAATCATCCATACATCCATCATCCATCTGTCTATACATCCATCCATCCATCATATATCATCCATCCATCCATCCATCCTTCATTCATCCATCCATCCATCCATCATCCATCCATCCATCATCCATCCATCCATCATATACAGTATCAATCATCCATCTGTCTATACATCATCCATCCATTCATCCATCTATCCATCCATCATTTGTATATCAACCATCCAGCCATCCATCATATGTATATCAATCATCCATCCATCCATCATCCATCTGTCTATACATCCATCCATCCATCATATATCATCCATCCATCCATCCATCCATCCATCCTATACCATCCATCCATTCATCCTATATCATCCATCCATCATCCATCTATCTATACATCCATCCATCCATCCTATACCTCATCAATCCATCCATCTTATAACATCCATCCATCCATCCTATAACATCCATCCATCCATCCGGCCATCCTATATCATCTGAAGAAATTTATAGTTATTTATAGATTAGTACTGATGTTAGAAAACTACACCAGAGTATAGGGGTCATTATTTTATAATACTTGTATAATGTTTGATCTATTATGTGTTAATTGAAATAGAGTAGATACATGTCTGAATTATAAACAACACATAAGTGAACCGTTTTAAAACAGGGTGAGGTCTTTGTCTGAATGCCTGTGATTCAGCTGTAGGTCAGCAGGGGGCGAACTCAGGCATTGAAGATTCTGTATATAATGGATTCATTTCCTGGTTATRGTCAGTGTGGTTTTCCTTGTCAGCTCGGTGACAGATTAAACCTCACTCACGTTCCCGAATTCTGGGGTTGTATGGTTTATTCCTTCCTCAACTCATTTTATTTAACACTGGTGTTTTAATTGACCTCAGCCGTATTGAACACAAATTTTCTTACAATCCATCCATCCATTCATCCTATATCATCCATGCATCCATCCATCCATCCATCCATCAATCATCCATCCATCATCCATCCATCCATCAATCATCCATCCATCCATCAATCATCCATCCATCCATCCATCCATCCATTCACCATCTGTGATCTGTCTATCTGTCCACCTTCCCAGCAGTCACAGTGAGAGGCAGGGACACCTGGACAAGTCTCTAGTTCAGAGGAGCCCAAAGTGAGGCCCGCGGGCCAAATTTGGCCTGCCAAGCCATTTGATTTGGCCCACCAACAGTTGCCAAAGTTACAAGGTTGTAACCTGTTATCCTATAGGTAGAAACACAGTATTTCCATTGGTCAAATGGCTATATAAAAGGGCTGTAGTGAAGGTAGTTTTCATTCATGGTGCTGACATTTCTTTGATTTATTAAGATTAAACAAGAAACATGAAATGACAACAAGAAATATTTAGATCAGATTTAACCCCACATGTAGATTTGCACACTTTATAAGGCCACAAAAACTCATATTTTATCAATTTATAAAACGTCCCATGAGCCTTTGCTACTTGAGCGTATGGCAGGCTTTCTCCAAGTGCACAGACTAAAACAAAAGAGGACCATTGCACAGCTTGATGATTAAAAATAAAGGACTTTACTTTTAAAAAGTATTTGTATTTCATTTATTATATAACTGCATTTGGCCCACAGCCATGGATATATTTTCATTTTGGCGCCCTCAGGGAAAATGTTTGGGCACCCCTGCTCTAGTCCATCACAGGGACACACAAAGACAAACAACCACTCTGTCTTCACCCAGGAACAGTTTAGTGTTTCCTGTTAGGCTGAAAATAAATGTGTTCACTTTAAGTGACCTACAGTTTGATTTATTCTCTGCCAGATAAAAGCTTTCATGACGCAGTCAGAGGTTAACTGAGTATAATCTGTCAACACAGACAGGATTACTCTCAGGATTAAACCTCTGACATAACCAGTCCTGGAGAAACAAGTGAGATTTCTCTGCAGGGTAGCTGGACTCTCCCTCAGAGGCCGGCTGAGGAGTTCAGTTCTCCAGGAGAGCCTCAGAGAGCTGCTGCTCCTCCTCATGCAGAGGAACCAGCTGAGGTGGTTCATCTGATCAGGATGAACTCTGGATGCCTCGTTTTGTCCACCTGAGGAGACCCGGACACAATGGAGAGACTGTGTCTCTCGTCTGGAGTCCTCCCAAAGGAGCTGGAAGAGGTGTCTGGACCTCCCTGATCAAGCTGCTGCTCCTCAGACCTGAGTCTGGATGGATGGATAGATCTACAGATTTCAGTTTAACTTGTACTTTAGAATCTGTTCAGATTCAGATGTTAAATTTGATCTAACTATAACAAAAACAACAAAAAATGTATTATAGGGCACAATATTAAGTTGTAAATTTATTTAAAAATAAGACTGGGAGAATAAACTAATCAATATTTTTATTAGCAAAGCCTAAATTAGCTGAAAATTAATGTATGTCTGAATTATTAAATTTAAACAAATAATTATATATATAAGCTTATTATTTGTTTAAATTTGACCCATCAGTGTTTTCAGATCAATAAACTCTGATAAACTTCGGTTCTGACCCAGTTTTAACTTATTTTAAATAATAATAAAAAACTCACCAGCTCGATGTCGCGCACGCGCCCGAAGCTCACAGCCTCCGTGAGCGTGCGCGGCGGGAACTCCGTCAGGTACACGCGCTCGTCGCTCAGCACCGCGTGCATGTAGACCTTGTTGAACGTGTCCGACACCACCACGCACGGCTCGTAGGTTCGGATCCGCTGGTAGAGGTCCCGCTCGGTGTTCCGCTTCAGGAAGGCGTCCAGCCGGGCGTTCCGGCGCGTGGGGAGGAGGGAACCGGTACCGGAGCCGGTCCGGGCCATGATGATGAAGCTGTATCCGAACTTAGCCTCTGCTTTGGGTCGAGAGGAACGATTTCCTGCCGCTCTCCATCCGTTCGGTCCGGGCGGTAAGTTCGTAAAGTACCGGGACTGAACGGGATGTGAGCCGGTGAAGCTCGGCTGATCCTCCATCCGCGCGCACCGCTCTCTGATTGGTCCGCTGAGCGAGCCCCTCCGCTGATTGGCTGCACGATCAGAGCGAGTTAAACTCTACTGCGCATGTCAGAGGAGTGGGTTCTGTTCAAACAACTTCATCACAATTTAATAATATTCACATTACAAACAAAATATATTATTATTCTTTGAATAGTTTTTATACAGCTTCGTGAATAATATCCTTAAAAAAAAAATATATATATATATAT